AATCGATATCTTTTACAATTTTGTAATCAGAGGATTCATGATTTTTTCGATCAGTTTAGAGTGAAGAAAATTAACCGCTGAACGTAACGTTCGCATGCATGTGATCAATCACATGAAATTTTGCAGGAAGTCTGTGGGGTTTTTCGCCTCGTTTTATTTTTTCTTTTACCTTCTTCAAATTGATTATACCTGAAGTGATATTGCCGCCGGTTAGCTAAGTGTCAATCGATACCTAGGCTGGTAGGAAATTTGAAAACTAAAGTATCATCATCTCACGGCCGGGAGGTTTAGAGCGTTTGTTTTCAACTCTCTGACTTCTCTCAGTTTCCCTGGCATCTCTGGTTTTGAATCTCACTTTAGTCGCTAGCTGGCTTGAGTTTTCTGCAGTATATAAAAATATTAGCTCTAATTGCAACTCCTTATCCGTTCTTTTTCTTACACATTTCGGAGTGTTTTTTCTTATAATAAGTTGACATTTGTGGGCCATTGTAATTATTAAACTTCTAGTCATGTCAAGATCACCATTAATTTGGTCACCCAGTGCAAAGGTGATTTTAAAACATGATGTGTTTCAATATCATAAATTGCAAAGCGGTAAATTAAGAAAAAGGCTTCTTCTTCAAAAAGATGCCTTTATGGAAAATTAAACGACCTTAAACTACAAAGTCTACTACGGATATTTTAAAATGGACTTGTCGACTATTTTTATACTTTAGTTAGTACTTATTCGAAACGTATGGGTAAGAAATTTTAACAGTTTTTAAAAAAACATTTTTTAAGTCTTCCCACTTCAGCAGCTGACCAAAATATGTTTGAAAGATTCACATAGTTTTACACGGTTAAGAATTTGGAACTCTTGATTAACACATTTCAAGCTGTTAAAACGCAGTACCTGATCGTACGACTCTAAATACTGATCAGATCAGGGGGCTTAAAATAACAAAATAGCGTATAGCCCAATTAAAGGAGCTGTGTTACGGCAGTCCAGTTCATTTTCTTTAATTTTGCCAATTACTCGACCTCAATCGCTATGGAACTTAAAGTAAACAAAGAAATTACATGGACATGACTGTGATTACTATAGTTCGTTTTACTGTAATTTCCATTCTGTTAATCCTGTTTCTACTTTTAATTATATAGTGCATAAATTGTAAATAACTTGATTTGATTTATTTCAGTTATAATTATTATTGATGTAATTTAACAGGAAAGAGCCTCCAAGTGGATCTGGGCATTATTATCATTATTATTATTAAATCAGAGATTCGAGACAAACAAACATGTCTCCTGAGCATTATTTTTGAAGTTGCAAACACCAGAGATCAACTTTGAAAAACTGTTAGGCTGAACAGTTTTCAAAAACCCTAATTTCAATCCGTTTCAGTCTTCTTCAGTTTTGCCCATCCGTGGCATCTGCATCTGTTGTGTTATTTTAACCTTCCTTTAATGTTTTAAGCGGTTATTTTTACGTTTCTCTTAATTTAACGGGCATTTTGCAATTACCTAACTTGGCTGAATTTCGTGACACAGCTCCATTAAGAGGAAGTAATAAAGTTATAGAACTGTGTAGGGCCGATGGTAGCTGTTGAGGTAAACGCTTTCGGAACACTAAATACAGCCACTGAAGGTTTGAAAAATTCAAACACTTCGGGACTGTCACATACAGTTTGAAATTAACTGGCGTTGTCTTTTTTTGTTTGTTTTGAGACGCTGTCTATGGCGATCGCTGAAACGAAGTGCAACAATGTTGGATCCGTTTTCACAGTTTCACCAACATTGTTGGGGCCACGCACGCGCATAACACGATGCACTGCCGCTTCCAACATTGTTGGGAGTTAATTGTTGCATCCGTTTGCACACCACTGCCAACACGGACGCAACAACTCCCAACATTCTTGGCTGCACATTTTTAGGAGCTGATGCGTCCATTTGCACGTAGCTTAAGAGCCGGCGGTAGAGTCATATGACAGCAAAATTAGCAATTAATTAAGGCTATGTTCATACTTAACCGGATAACTTTTGCGCCGGCACGAAAACCATACCGGAAAAGGTTTATATTCACACATAAGAACAGTCATTTCGGAGCGATTTCCGTTACGGTAACGGACCAAAGCAGCATCACGCCGATCTCGAAAGTGGAGCATCTCAACGGATAGGTTTTGGGCCACACTTCGGTGTAGTGTGAACAAGTTCTTGGACCACAGCGGAAGTTAATAAGTAGGAGCGAGGACTAAAATCCACTTAAACGGATTTTTATCGAAGTAAATGCTCAGGAGTGAAGACTGGAATTTAGATTAATACCAATCCCTCTCGGCAAAACACTCCAGCAACATGTTGGATGTGTGTGCCCCCAGTATGGCTTTAATTTGCTGTTCACACTGAACTGGATTGCTGTTTGTGTCGGCACGAAAAGCTATAGTTTATTAGTAAAATCCAGCTAGTGGTCTATTATCAATGCTGCGTTCTGACTGGTTGAGCTACCACTAGGCTATGTGTTATAGCCCACTAGTAGCGAAAGGCGCCGGCTTTGAAAACCATGACAATGGCGGCTGAATCGCCCTTTGCTAGCTAAAGTTGTTCTGTCTCGATATTTTTGACCAACTAGTTGCATTTTACTAAAACAATTTTTCCTCTCGCCCTCATGGCCTTCGGCCTCATGGGCTATTGACTCGGACCTTATTCGGGATCGAGGAATAGTTGTTAAGTATAGTGTGAACAGGGCATTAATTTCAATATTCCTGAATATAGTCTAAAGTCACAAAACTGGACTATTTTATTTATTTATTTATTTATTTATTTATTTATTTATTTATTTATTTATTTATTTAGTTAGTTAGTTAGTTAGTTTAATTGAGGCGAAGAAAGTTTTTAGCTTTTTGAAAAGAGAGCAAAAATAACGTGACATAGCCACATTGAAACCAACACTGAAGGGGCAGATGGGCGATCTAATTGAAGGCGAATCGTGAAACGAAGTATTTGAAAATGAATATTGAAAGGAGACCGAGGACGATTAACATTGGTTGGAAAGTTTCTTTAATTATAAAAGGAGAGTTTATCAAATGAATATTTAGGTTCAGCTGGAGAGTCAAAGTAATTTTAAATAAAAATTTAGCAAAATATCAATTTAAGGCTGAATACGAATATTTATTTAACGTTCAGAAACGGGTCCCTTTGTTGACTTTAAATTGACAATTATTAATATTGTCCAGTCGTTGACGACCAACTAGTGCTGCTTTAATTTCAACTAGAAACTGAAGCTGAGAGGGAAAAAAAAATATTAATGGAGAGAACAAAAAATATGGAGATAAAACTCTTATTACCAGTGTCAACCAAACAGAACAATTCATTTGCGGACGAGCTTATAAAACATATCCTTTAAATTTGAGATCATGACAAAATTAAGAGCAGAACCTGTCAAGGAAAGCATGATTTCTGGCACGCCATCGCTTTTCTTCGGTAACAGGCTATAGTCGCGACTTTGAGACTAATTTTAGGTCATGCATAAAATATTTTAATTATGTATGCGTTAAAACGCGAGTGGAGAAATATTTCATTAGAAACTGTTGTTTTTTTTAGACGCAACTACAACTTTTTTCTTGTAACTATACCTGTTATAAATGTCAGGTACTAATTATTGCTATTTCGTTTAGCTTGCTTAAGCAAGGTCTAAAGAACATATGTTTTTACCTTGCTGGTGGTATTGACTCAAGTTAGCACGCCTGAAGATGAATTTTTTGTTGATTGGCTAGAACTGGCAATTATTAGAGTTATATTTCAATATTTTTTTGCCCTTTGTTTTACATAATCATCGGCTTCTTTCCTGATACAGGATGCAAAGCGAACTTAATTTAAGGCGTCACTTGAAGACCTTACAATGAACGAAGCCCGTTGTATTTATTCATGTTTTTGGAAGCTGCTAAGACTTAGAGAACACACCTGTTGAGGAGTCATCAGTGAGCATGAACACAACAGCGAATAGATCAAGTTCCTCTGGCTGTTCCAGTCTGGTAAATCCAGAAGCACTAAAAGTTGGAGAAACAGTTGCTTATAGTTTAATTCTTGTAGTCTCGCTGGTTGGAAATTCTCTCATCGCATTAATTGTTTATAAAACACCAACCTTGAGAAAACCGATAAATATGTTGATCGCAAACATGGCCATGTCCGACCTGCTCTATCCAATATTCCTGTTCCCTGTTCGTCTGGCAGAGATGCACGTTGGCTGGTGGCTTATTGGTGGTACCCTTGGTCAGGTCTTATGCAAGATACACACTTTTCTNTTTTTTCAGACGCAACTACAACTTTTTTCTTGTAACTATACCTGTTATAAATGTCAGGTACTAATTATTGCTATTTCGTTTAGCTTGCTTAAGCAAGGTCTAAAGAACATATGTTTTTACCTTGCTGGTGGTATTGACTCAAGTTAGCACGCCTGAAGATGAATTTTTTGTTGATTGGCTAGAACTGGCAATTATTAGAGTTATATTTCAATATTTTTTTGCCCTTTGTTTTACATAATCATCGGCTTCTTTCCTGATACAGGATGCAAAGCGAACTTAATTTAAGGCGTCACTTGAAGACCTTACAATGAACGAAGCCCGTTGTATTTATTCATGTTTTTGGAAGCTGCTAAGACTTAGAGAACACACCTGTTGAGGAGTCATCAGTGAGCATGAACACAACAGCGAATAGATCAAGTTCCTCTGGCTGTTCCAGTCTGGTAAATCCAGAAGCACTAAAAGTTGGAGAAACAGTTGCTTATAGTTTAATTCTTGTAGTCTCGCTGGTTGGAAATTCTCTCATCGCATTAATTGTTTATAAAACACCAACCTTGAGAAAACCGATAAATATGTTGATCGCAAACATGGCCATGTCCGACCTGCTCTATCCAATATTCCTGTTCCCTGTTCGTCTGGCAGAGATGCACGTTGGCTGGTGGCTTATTGGTGGTACCCTTGGTCAGGCCTTATGTAAGATACACACTTTTCTTGCTGATATTTCGTGGTTAGTGTCGATTCAGAGCCTGGTTCTGTTAACAGTGGATCGATTTGGAGCTGTTGTAGTTCCACTCCGTTCACCCCTCATCAGTCGAAAGTTTTGTCCCTTTTTTATTGTCGCTACGTGGATCATTGCAATGGCCTTTCATTCGCCATACTTTTTTGCTTTTAGACTGGTTGAATACCCTGAGGGGATGTTGTGCGAAGATCTGTGGCAGGAAGTCTTCGGAGGAACAACATATGCAAAATACCACCTAACAGGTGCTATCGTGTTTATATACATCCCTTCCGTCCTGGTGGTGATACTTTACTCCATCATCCTGATCAAGCTTAAAAAGCAAGTCCATCCAGGTGAACAGTCATCCAGTAACGAAGAACAGCGAGCAAGAAGGAATAAGAACGTGCTAAAGATGGCCATTGCTATTGTGTTGGTGTTTGTGATTAGTTGGGTGCCTTATCACACTGCCCAGTTACTTTTGAATTATGTACCGGAAATTTCATTTTTTTCGTCTTGCAGTTTTTTATTATACGCTCATATCACCTACTATTTGGCTACCGCAAACTGTGCCATCAATCCCTTTATCTGTCTTATTTTGAGCAGCAACTATCGTCAGGGTCTTAAGAAACTTCTAACTTAGGCAAAGACAACTTGATCATGAGGCTGGAGCTGGTTTCTGTTTCTTTCTTTCTTTCTTCCTTCCTTTTTTTCTTTTCCTTTCCTTTCCTTTTTTTTCTTTTTTTTTTTTNAGGTACGCGTGTGCCAAAGTCATGATTTGCTATTTTATCCCTCAGGGTTGATCAGATCTATTCTGGGAGATTTTGGTTCCAAAGACTGTATCTTTATTATGAATCCAACCCAGCCAAACAACTGTTAGAATTGAAACCCTAAGAAACTGAGACTACAAAGGATTTAGGTAAGTGATCTTTATGGAAAAAGCGAATAAATATATAAGAAAAAGAGAAACACAAAATTAGCTTACTTTTCGTGATTTGCCTTGAAATTGCATATTTTTCCTCACACAAAGCGATTTGTTTTGCTATTACGCAATGATATCGCGACATGCTCAAATTGCGTGAAATTCCAAAGGTCAGAAAACATTGCTCGTAGACCTTGGGTTACCTGTGATCATTTCAAGATCATGACATTACAAACAAATCAAAGGGTGTAATATGCCTTGTTTTTTGTAAATAAATGTTCACACGAAATTCAGGTGCCAGTCACACTTTTTTAAAACTACTCTAATAGTCCAAGTAAATTTTCCATCGGCGCGGCAATCTATTGTAGCCACTTTGGAACCTTGAATGACCTCCAGAGAGCGCACGCGTAGCCTGGGAACGAGAGCATAAGACCATTTACAAGTACAGATGCATCATCATAAATCAAAGTGAAGAGGTCAGCGAGAAAGGACTTCTCTCCAAATGGCTTCCCTCATCCTTGAAACTTTGAGTGTCATAGGAATCGTTATTTGGCAAATTCTCAAGTCCTTCGTACGGATATTTTTCCCGCCACCTCGTAAAGATATCAATGGAGAAATTGTATTCCTGACAGGCGCTGGAAGCGGCTTGGGCCGATTGATGGCTGTGAAGTTCGCCAAGCTTGGCGCGACAGTCGTTTGCGCCGACATAAATCAAGCTGCAAACGACGAAACTGTGAAAGAAATCCAAGATCTAGGCTTCAAAGCGTGTGGTTATAAATGTGACTGTAGTAGCCGTGAAGACATTTACCGTGTCGCTGATCTCGTGAAGAAAGAAGTTGGCGATGTCACGATGCTGATCAACAATGCGGGGATTGTTAGCGGCAAAAAATTTCTGGACACAGAAGATTGGATGATTCAGAAAACTATGGAGGTTAATACGATGGCTCATTTCTGGGTATGTATATTGCTTAAAAACGTAATAGTTACGTTTAATATATAACTTACATTGCGTTAAAGAACACACGACTTGGCCAATGTCCTTGCATGCGCAATGGAGCGCATCTTTACACTGTTTACACAATCATGCGTTCTCTTCTATTCGAGTTGGGTCTCATTAAGAAAATAAGAGTTCTAAAAAAAGTTGCAATTACGCTTAATAAGGATCTGTAGTGTTTTCAGTGGAATTTTACAATTACATGTACGAAGATTTGGTGGTCCAAAGTCCATCAGCAGTGTTCGTCACGCTGGTATTCTATGTGCGTGACGTGGGGAACTGTTGGGTAATGGGAAGGGTGGGTGGGTAGTTTTGTTCCTGCCACGTAGTTGTTTAAGGGACAATCATGATCTCCCAGAAATGGTGATGACAGTAACAATAATGAGAACAGCAAAAGATCAACAGGTTTTCATGTAGATAAGACATTACATGTAAGAGAACAACTTTGAAAGTGCATCACACTTTTGGTACATTTTATGTATGTTTCCTTGCCATTGTTGCACGACTATGATCTAAAACCTCCTGTTTTCATGTGTTTTGGAGGACATGAACACAAGAAAAATAATTTTCTTTATCATTTTCTGAACGTAGATAATGTACAGTCTTGCAGGATTCAATTCTAGAAAAATTAGCCAACATTAGACAATTTCACCCCACTGAATTTAGAGCAAAGACGTAGAAACAGCACAAATTCCCTTTTTGGGTGAGATCTTCACTGTCATCTCCATCTCCCTAACAGCATAATAATTATTGTTTTACTGGGTACTTAAGCAGGGGGTAAATGGTGGTCCACCCTAATTTATGGCATAAAAATGGCATCTCTGTGTTTCTAAATTAACAAGTCAAATTTCAACGAAACTTCCATATCTCATTTTTTATACCCGGAAAACAAATTTCCCCAAGTGAAAGTACAGCTCACTGTCCAAGAAGACTCCTTACACAACTGTAATTTAATCAGGGAAGGAAAGGTTTGATGTACAGTTACATGTACAGTGTAAACCTCCATTAAGCAGCCAGTAACCAAAATCCCCAAATAATTGTAAAAAAATGGTAAATTCAATCTCTATGGTCATCCCAAGAAGAGTTCTCCTATTATTTTGACCTCTTTTAAGCGGCCATCCGGTGCTTGATACCATTAGGGTGTGTTCCTTTGAGATGATCAGGATCACGATCAGTGATCCGAGATCACTCAGATTATGGTAGATCAAATGAACCCATGAATCCTCTCTGGACAAGGATTCATTGGTTCATTTGATCTATCATGATCCAAGTAATGTTGGATCAGTAATCCTGATCCAGATCATCCCATAGGAATGCACCCTTAGTTTGGCTTCATTTCAAGAATTTGGTGAAGGAATTACAGTCAAGATAGAAGTTGGCATCCAATTGTGAACTAGTAATGCTTCTCCCATCACGTGTTTCTTTCAAAATGAAGTGACATTTCTGCTAAAGATTATGCTTATTCATGACAAACCTCTATTGAGCAGCCACCCTCTGTTAACCGGCCACTTGCCAATACCCCAAGAGCATGGCTGCTTAAATTAAGAAAGGTTCAACTGTAATACAGATGTCAAAGCTGTTCCAAGTGACAAAGAGTGATCAATTGCTTTTTTTACGTTCAACAACAGACCACAAAAGCCTTTTTACCATCTATGATAGAGAAAAACCATGGCCATGTTGTCACAATAGCATCATCTGCTGGTTTCTTTGGTGTCTCTGGACTATGTGATTACTGTGCCTCCAAGTTTGCAGCAGTTGGCATTGACGAGTCACTGTTCATGGAGTTGGGAGCGTTGAAAAAGGATGGTGTTCACACAACTGTTGTCTGCCCATACTTTATTAACACGGGCATGTTTGATGGGGTTAAAACAAGGTAAAGTATCATCTTCTTCGGCTATCATAACAAATCAATTAATGACTGGTCTCATGAAACTAGTCCATTTTGTTTTGGCAGAATCTCAATGTTTTCAAGGCAGAGCTGAAGGAAACACTGAGAGTCTTGGTTTCAGCAGAAATACAATGTACCTGTTTCCTGAGAGATGAATCATATTTCTTTATACAGTAGTTAAGATCCCTTAATTTTTTATTGGGCTTTGTGTAATTTATAATTAACAATAAATTATTATAATTTGAATAAGGCTGAGTATGATGTGAAGAATTTTGCAGTTTGACTAGAATACACTTTGGCATATTCTTGTGTTTCTTCTATAGTTTTAATCAGAAATTCAGCTACAATTTTTGTCTTTGGATAGCTGAGATCACCTTTTTTTGGTTCGCTTTTGCCCAAGCAGCCTCGTCTCCTAGCAAATATACCATCAAATCAATGATACATTGTACATTGCTGCATCTTCCAAAATAATACTGTATGGTACATGTAAGCGTCACTTGGTTATGAAGAATTAGCTGGGGGATTCAAGCCAATCAGAAATGGCAAAACATTTAAACTATTTTGAACGAATAATAATACCAATTAATCACCTTAAACTTTAGGTTCCCTCTTCTTCTTCCAATTCTGGAACCTGACTGGGCAACAGACCAGATGGTAGATGCTGTTTTAAGAAATAAGGCACTTTTGTTCCTTCCAAGAATTCTGAGTTTGGTTCTCTGGCTCAAAAGGTGAGTTTTAGTTGAGTTTTAAACTTTGTATATTGTAATTCACAGACAGCATACATACATGAATTTATTATATAAACACCAATGAAATACAAGGTGAGCTTTCGGGCGAAAACTTGATATCTTCACGTGTGAAAATAACATGTTATCTTGACATGTGAAAATATCACCGTTGCTATAGCTACATAATAGATTGTGCCTTTCACACCAAAAAACTATTAAAGTGAAATGGTTTGGTAGTTCATTGGTGTTTATATAAAAAATAGAACATTACATGGCCGCTTGGAGATACGAAATTTCTCTTCTCGTGTTGAAAAAATATTTCACTCGTTCACTGCGCTCACTCGTGAAATATTTTCAACACTCGAAGAGAAATTTGGTATCTCCGCGTGGCCATGTAATATCCTCACTTGTGCTAATACAAGTACAGTGTAAGTTAATCATGGGATGAGAATCATTTGGTGGGCTACACTGAGTCAGCATGATTTAATTATTCTTGATCTTTTTTTATGGTACATGTACATTATGTACAGTATAAGCTATAGTGTATATTACAGCGAGATATTTTCAACAGTTCAATTATCAATGTTCCAAAATGTTGATGGCCCTGCCAAAAACATTGTTTAGTATTTATGAAAAGAAAAGCATGCAACAAGAACTATTGTATGCATGTACATGTATTGAGAAAATAAATATTACATTTACAGGGATGATTAAGAGATATATGTACTTAGTATCTGTTATGTACAGTGAATGTATACATGTATGAGCTGCCTGTCACATACAAATACAAATTTCCCAGACTGATCTCCATACATTTCCTTGAAGAATTAGTTAAGAAAATTTAAATGTGTTAAAAGATCAAAGCATTTCCCCTTTGGCAATCAGTTTATCAATTCTCATGACTTTTTCTCTTGATTTTGTATGGATACTGATTGATTTTGGTCAGTATTTGGATGGCACAGAAGTTTTTTATCACTTGTACATATACCGTAAAATTCCGAAAACAAGCCCCAGGGCTTATATTTTTCAAAGGCCCTTTTTGAGGGGCTTATATTCAGAGGGGCTTATCTACGGAGGGAAATTTGCGTTTCAAAATCGATTGGACTAGCCTTATAGTTGGAAGTAAATTGACCGTTTTTGCTTTATTTTAGTTTGTATTTGAGGGCAATTTCCAAGTACAAGCCCCTGGGGGGCTTATATTTGGAGGGGCGATTTAACGGAGGGTTTTTTGCGTTACGAGTTTGGGGGGCTTATATTTGGAGGGGCTTATTTTCGGAATTTTACGGTATTTGCTATAAAATGTTTTCTTGAGTTTGTCTTATTAAATGCCATTAGATACAATTATTACAACTGTATTAACAAGCACTTTTGTTCTTTCACAGTACTGTTCCAACCTCTACTTACCACACTTTGGCGGAGTTTTTTGGAACAAATGCCTGCATGGATGAATTTAAAGGAAGAGCCAAGAAGATGAAGTAGATTAACTCAACAGGCTTTGAATGATACAAACAAAATGTGGAAATTTTAATTCTTAAGATTTTAAGAGACATGTACATGTACATGTACAGATGCTTATAAGTATTGACTGCAGGTACTGCAAAGGTGTCTCTAATTCCAACACTTTCACCTTTGATGTGAATCTTTTTATTCAGCAAAAAAACCCATGTTTTATTGAATGGCTTGCTCTGTGAGCAGGTAACATGAAGTGGGTTCTGTTCTAATTGGCTGCCCGAGCGGGCAATCTAAAGCAGTCATGCCCACTCTTTGCCTTATTTTGATTACAAGAACTACTTCAACGTCGTGTCAGTCCATAAAATGGCAAAAAAAAAAGAACTTGGCCAGTATATATTCTCTTGACTTTACCCCTGATCAGCAACGCATGCCCACTTGTGCAGCACAGCCTTTTGGGAAGTGACACTATTATTTTTTGTTATTATTATTATTATTATTATTATTATTATTATTATTATTATTATTATTATTATTATTATTATTATTATTATTATTTTAATGAGTGTTTATTCAACAAGGGAGGTTCATTACTGTCAAAGAGCTCACTGTCAAATTGTGCTCAAAATAAAAAGCTTTCTGCCTAGCGCATCTAAGAATTGTAAACGACTGTTCAGTAGCTGTTTTCTCACATTACAAGTGATTAGCTGATGTCACTTTCAACTGTTTTAAAGGTTTCCTATGATCCACGAGGAGACCAAGGGATGCAATCAAACCTCCTTATGTCGGACACCAAAGTCTCAGAGCCGAGTGTCCACAGACCAATTCAACCAGTTTTATTGCTTATTGTAGTTACTTTTCAATATTTCAAGATATTTATTTTTATCGTTTACGATTTTTAGCGCTTTATATGCCCATATCAGTATTATAATATATTAAACGCTAGTTTCAGTTTTTTAAGCTATTATTGTGTGGTAATAAATGATGAGATATGTTATTTATCTATTTATATTTTTATTGCATCTCTCCTAAAGTGATCTATTTTGTAGATAGGCGAAATAAGGAGAAAGGCGACAGTTTCCGCGAACTCTTTCGATATGTGGAAAAATGATAAAGAAGCATCAAAACCAGGCCCCCGCCAATTACAACTTGGCAGATCATTCTATCCAATAGATGGCAGTCTGCTTTCCCTGCCTACACTAACGCAACACGGAAAGTCCCAAAAAACTAGCACACACTTATCCGAAACGGTGCGCTCGGTCTCTCAATAACCAAGGGTTGTCCAATACACAAGGGTTTTGATAGCCTGCAAAAACAACCGTTTCTCCTCGCTCTTCGCCGCTGGGGACGTTTCGCGAAACGTCCTCAGCGGCGAAGAGCGAGGAGAAACGGCTGTTGTCGCAGGCTAGGGTTTTGACCATTTGGATACATCTCCTCTAAGGCCATGTTCACGGTATGCCGGGTAGGTCTTGCGTTACCCTTTCGGGCGGAGCCCCAGCCGTGAATATTATAGCAGGGAGTATCCGTGCCCGGGAAAGCGCTTGAAGTCACTGTGAGATACTTGACTACCTGACGACTGACTGCTGGTGGTAATAATCCCCGAGGGGTCACTACGCCCATAAATTTCAGATAGGCAGTGGTGCCGCCTGACGTCATAAACCCTTGCTCTATCTAAGGATGAGACAAACGAACATTGATGCCCTATTTAAGGCCCAAAACCGAAAAATAACATCCTATTGAAGGTGATTCGCTAGTTTTGCACTGGCGCATCCATTACTGCGCATAACAAGATGGCCGCCGTAAAAAAGAGCATCTCAGTAACATTATTACAATGAAGTTTACTGAAGAGGAAAGCTATTGGAATTTTTGCTTGCGGTTGTTTCTTGCCGAGGTGAGACTCAATGTGCTGTGTGTTGGGAATGTGCAAAACGGAAGCAGTACGCGCGCGTGCTGCTGAGTTCGACTTCCTCACGGAGAACCTCGATAGTGGATGTTAAACTTGTTCTTACTTTGATTTTCATTTAAAATCGCTTTCTTTATCACACTGGGTCCTAAATGAGATATCTCGATGTAAGTTCTGTAAAAACGGATTAATTTTTTTAAATACTTTCTTCCCCCTTTCACATACATGACGTTTTGAAACTCGCCCCAGTCCTCTCTCAAAAATCGGAGAAAATGCATTTGGTGCGCACTTCCTGCAGCTCTATCGCAAAAACGAGTACGGTGACCCCCATTTTTTATTTCATGATTTTAATGAGGACAGTGCTTCCTTTCGATGAGAAAAAAAAAATTGGCACAAATCTATGTTCACTTTTTTGGCAATTAACAAGGGCGTTAAAAGGCATTTTTCTGGTACGTAAGTGGATAAACAAGGCACAAAGGCTTTATAAAAAGAGCTACCATTACACATACCAATCTTAGGGATTTGAAGTGAATTCGAATAAAAGAAGGCGATATGGGTAACTAAACAATTATATAAACAAAAAAAAATAAAAACGGCGATAACTGACTGCAGGAAAAGTTGTTCGTGTTGTTTATTCAGATCAAGATTGAAAGCTACATGTAATAGTTGACAACAACCTTTTCTGAAAAGTAGAAACTAGCGAGGCAAATTCAATGAAAAACGACAGAATCTAGATACAGACAGCAAAAATGGAAAAGAAACGTACAACAGAGGAAAAATGTCGAATAAACGGTGCATAAGTTAGAGCAAGATTTCAGTACTTCGGCAGCGTAGGTTAAGAAGCTAGAGTGAAGCGACATCACGAGCCGGCCGTTTTGTTTTACTTTAGCGGTTTTCCTGGCTCACTTGCTTGACTCTCCTTTCAGATGTTTTGTCTGAATAACAAAATTCACTTTTTCCTAGCTAATGCTAACAATAGCGTAAGTTTTAGAAGAAAAAATGTTGAAAAATCACCGGTTTTGCTCATTCACAAACAACAAACAAACTTGTGAATAAAGCTCCTGCCAACGACTCGGATTCCCCCGGGGTTAGCGGGCAAGATCATAAAAAACCGCCCGCTCTCGGAACCAATCAGATTGTAGGATTTGGAGGATTCCGCCCGCCCGCAAGCTTAGAAAAAAAAAAATGACAAATAATGGCAATGCCTACGAAAATACCTAAGAGAAAGTTTCAAAAGACTGTAATTTAACCTTCGTCCCACGTAAGGGAATCAGGACTGCCGGAATCCGGGAAATATTTGCTTGTGGAATCCCGAATCCGGGAAAATTCGAAAATTTGCTTATGGAATCAAGAATCCTGGGCTTTGGAATCCGGAATACAGCTCGAGGAATCCGGAATCCTACTAAAGATTGGAATCCAGAATCTGAGTTCTATTGACAAAGACTGGAATCAAGAGAGTGTCCTGGATTTTCATTCCTTGGGGCGATAATCTATTCTAACCTTTCTCTAATAAAAGAAAGCATTCATGACAGCGAGGATAATAAATTTTGAGAAGCGGCCATTTTATAAAAAATTCCATCCTCTCGACTAAGCAGTGTATCAAGGGTGTCCATCTCAGCCACTTCGCCTTCTTTCAGTACTAAAATTATGTCACAATCTTTGATAGTGTTCAGCCTATGAGCTATAGTAATGACGGTGGAATTCTTCAGTTTGTCCCGCACGGTGGTCCAGATTTTTTCTTCTGTATTGGGATCTACGGAAGCCGTAGGTTCATCCAAGATGACGATCTTATTTTTCTGCAACAACGTGCGAGCTAAGCAAATTAACTGCCGTTCACCTACACTTAGGTTCTCACCTTTCGCCAAAAGCTCGTAGTCAAGTTGTCCCTCAAGGCTCTCCACCAATTCTTTCATTTCCACATCTTCAAGGGCCTTCCACAGTTCATAATTTCCGTGCTTTTCCAGAGGATCCAGGTTTTCTCTAAGGGTGCCACTTAAGAGGACAGGCGATTGGCTAAGAACGGAAATACATTTTCTTGATTCTTGCAATTGAATGTTTTTTATCGAGACGTCATCGATGACTACCTCCCCTTCAGCCTCAGGCATGCGTAGAATTGCTGCTACAATGGACGATTTTCCATCTCCTGTTCTGCCAACAATTCCTAGCTTCAGTTTCTCTGGAATATCAAAGGTTAAATTCTTTAGAACTTTTGGTCCACCCGGGTAATACCTTAACGAAACATCTCTGAAGCTCACATGACCAGCGCTTGGCCAGTTATCTCGCGGAAATGTTTTGATATTGTAACCTGGCTCAGATTCGATATTTGCATAGGCTAGGACTCGTTCGACAGATATCATCGTGTTTTCAATGTCTCCAAATTGTCGCACAGCAACTTGGCTCTTCTTGGCAGTCTGAACTGCGTATGCCAGTGAAAGTCCGATAAAAGCTGCAAAAAAGTAACGTTAACAGAATGTCAGTGATCATTATTAAATTTGAATTGAAAAAACTTGTCCATGAATACCATATTTATCTTCAGCTTCCGAGCCTTGGCGGACAATTTGTACCTTCGAGGCCTTTGGATGTGTTGAAACAGACACATTTAAAGGACAATGAGTGTTCTTAAGATTTTCCCCGGGGAGATTTTCATCTCTTTGCAAGATTAGCATTTAGCCCGTCAAGCGTGAGTCATGCCACAAAAAAATTACAAAATTTGAATGTCAATGTGTTTAGCACTAAAGTTAAGTTGCTAATTGAGGACTCTATTTTTACGTTTTCTACTGGAGACGGGAGCGCTATTTTACGAGGTCACGATCATCCAAGCCATGCGAAGGTCTATGGCCTTTGCATTATAAAGGAGGAACCACTGATAGTGACCTTTAATTCTCAGTCATTTTAAAGTGGCTCGTTGTTGGGGTTTTTTCAAGTGCCTCGCTTCCAATTTTCAACCTTGAAGAATAACAATTACACATGATATTTCGAAATATCAATGTTACATGCAAACTAGCTAGTTTGATATTGATGTACCTGTTTGACCTCACAACCTTCCGCATTCAATACTAAATCGATTTATTATTCGATGCAAATTTTTCTTCCTTTTCATTGGCGGAAAGCCCGCCACGTGACCTGCAGATAACTGCCTACAAATAATGGTCTTCTCATGCGCAATGTCGTCAAACTGTGTTTGGCTTTGTGCTTGGCTGCAAATAATATTCTGCTCATGCGTAAACGAAACCAGGCTTTTCTCCTTCTTTGAAGTTTGTTGATATACTGTAATGGTACAAATGACCGTCGCCAAAACGGCAAACATTTGCTAAACAGATCCTTAACAAACGCGTTATATTCGAAAACTGATGTTCTCATAGAAATCAACGAAACTTGGCCAAAGTGCTACCCATAATGTACACTATTCACACTTTTAAGCAACATTACTCTTCTAAAGAGTTCGTTTCTCTTGGCAAGTACCAAACAACAAAAGTTTTTCATGCCGGACAAAATCGCGTTACTATGGATGCTCCGATCTTCAAAAACCTAACTGCATATCAAACTTAAATCTATTGCTTGTTTGCATATATTATCGATATTTCGAGAAAGTCATAAGTGTATTTCTTCAAGGTCAAAAATCGGCAGTAAGGCAGTGAAAGATCCTGTGTATTGGTCCGTCCCCAGGAATCGAACCCACGACCTCCTGCTCTGCGGTCAGTTTATGCCGGCTTTACCGACTGAGTTAATACGGCTGCGGTCTTATGCAATTTTTTTTTCATAATTCCAATTGTCACGGCTGTGAGTGGGTCTTCGTTTTTAACGTTACCTGATCTTTCACATTATACTGCGGAGGAAAACGTCGAATTTTGACGCAGCTTATTTAGCATGTATTCGTTTCTCGTATCACTGATAGGATCAATAACGGGCCCTATTATATCTAAATTGACCGGCAAACGAATCCGTGGTCTAGTAGTCTTAATTTGTGGGAATAAAAGTAGCTATTTTAAAAAGAGAGTCAGGAACTCAGAATTAAAAATATATTAGACCAAAGCAACGCCCAGCGCAACGTACGCCTAGTCATGATAGGCTTCTCTTTGGAGTAAAATTTTTAATACAATCTCTCATGATCAGTGAGCGGATGATAACATTTGGGTGTTGTTAAGATTCTAAAAACTTAATATATCGTAATCCTTTAGCTCCAATATCCACATACAAATTATTTAGACTGATCTCCACACATCTCCTTGTAAAATAAGTTGAAGTGAAATTAGAAAAGATGTTGGATATTGTTTGAAGAAATTGTTGCTGGTCACCTTGGCAAGAGGAAGAGGAAGAGCTCAGGTAATCATGCATCATCAACAAAAAAGTTAATGAGAATTAATAAAACCATCACCTAAGGAAAGTCCTTTGATCTTTTATCGAATTTTCTCATTTGATATTTAAGGAAATGTTTAGAGGTCAGTCTAAATAGTTTTTATATGGAAATTGGAGTTAAAAGGGTTTGTAATTCCGTTCCGATTAGCTACCCCGAACTGAGTATCTGAGGACGGGGTGGGGCGAGGCCGGGCGGGGTGGGTTTGAAATTAATGCATGGCCAAAATACCTCATCTCTTAACACTTAAAAAGTATTCTTTTTGTGCAGTTATTTACCTGGATTTTCAGTGTATAGAACGAACGTAAAAGCCACTGCAGTGATCAACACAGAGCACAAGAGGTCCGCCCTAACTGCCAACCAAAACGAACCCGCTGTCACCATGTAATAGGCTTGATTATGTAGATCTTGATGTCTAGGGAGTCAATAACAATTAGGCAATGTTCACATTGTACCAGTAGCTTTTGTGCCATTCACGTGACCAAGAAACGACGGACTCCGGGGACGAGAATGCTTTTGTGCCGGCACGAAAAGCTTTCTGGTATAGTGTAAACATAACCTCGTACGCGCATGACCCATTGATGGCCAAAAGTCAAAAAAAGGCACGCAAGAGCCACGTCTGTGACGTCTAAACACCGGATTTGTATCTAAACGATTTATCCGTCCTAGACTAGACAGATAATTCGTCTCTTTTTTAAATTCAGCCACTGTCGCACAGTGAGTCGTTTTATGCTTCGTCGACTTCACGCGACAAGCCTTGTTTGACCCCACTGCTCGACGGCTTCATAGTAAATGACTTCTTCGACAGTTTGTCCCAAAATGTCAACCTCGTCCCCAGGGCGCTTTTACCTGGCTTTGGAGGTGAGGGAAAAGCGCCCTGGGGACGAGGTTGTCAAGATGTTTTCTTGGCTGCTGTGCAATCCCGTATTATATTATTTTATGAAGCAGAGCTAAATGTAACCATTGAATACCTCCACAAAAGCTACTATTCTTCGATTTAGTGGGTTATCATTTGCAGTTGCACATAATAAAAACAAAGTTGCTTGATTTTCCCCGTCCCCTACTATTCACGAACGTAAAATTTGGAAAAGGGTGCCCTTATCAACAGTTCGATGACGGGTAGAGGGGTCTCTTCTTCGTACGTAAAAAACCTGTGTCAAGCTCTCAGATAGTAGGGACCTCGCAAAAAAAACAAAACAAAACAAAACAAAACAAAAAAAGACCGAATGCAAAACAGGGCGCGCCTCATGATCTGGGGAAAGGGGCGAAGCCTCCTCTCTTCGCAGTCCTCCACACGTTTTTCGCATCCGTTTTCACTGTCTCTGTACATAACTACGTTGAAGCCTGGAACAAGCTACGTACGCCTTTACGCTAGGGGTGGGGGAGCGAAGACTTTTAAGCTCATGTTGAAAGCAGGATAAAGGAATGGCCTTTGTGACGAATAAAACATGCACTTACTGGTACAATTGCTCCAGAAAATCGTTCCCCTTCTTTCGAGTGCGAATGGTGCTTAAACCAGCCATGGTCTCCGAGAAAAGAGAGAAAACGGGACTACGAGAGATTGCCTCCAGTCTCTTCAGCTCCCGCGCTGAATTAAAAAAATATTTTGCTAGGTACACGAAAGCAGCTAGTACTGGTAAGGTTATGACGACAAACCAAGGGATTATTAATGAAGGTAATACCAGTGCAGTTAGAACAACGAAAATCAACTGAATGACTCCCAAAAAGGTCTGGGATAAAATCTCATCAATGTAGCCAATGTCTTTAGAGCACCTGTTGAGTATTCTTCCAGCAGGATTGGTGTCGAAGAATAAAACTGGAGCTTTTAACAGGCACTTGACCATCCTGTCATGGAGAGCTTGGGCTGATCTGAGTAGAAGTTGAATTAAAAGACAGGCACGTGTGGTAGAAGCAAGAACAGCAGCAACGATAAGAGCGACATAAACGTGAATGAAAGTCGGATCTTGTTGTTTGTTCCAAGGCGATTTTGTCAGGTAGGAAAGGCAAACATTAGGTGACACCAGAACAACTGGAGAGAAGGGAGAAAGATAACGAAAATAGTAAAAATGAATGAAAAAGTATTAAATAATGAAGAGTGCGGTTGACCTTTTTACGTTGTTTCTTCGGTTGTCCGATTTTTGAAACTTTTAATCATTTAAAAAAAATCAGGCCAGGTTTTTAAATACTCGAATCGTGTAAAATACCAAACATGCAAACGCATGAATTGCACCAAACTGGCAAACAGCGTCAAGATCAAATGTGAACCAGCCTATTGGTTTGACAACCCCAAAATGTGAATTCTTCCTGTATTGCAATACAGTGGAACCACGATATAACGAACCTATACATAACGTAGTCTTTGATATAACAAAAGATTTTCTTTACCCCAGTAATAGAAAAATATATGGAAAAGAACCTCGATATAACGAAACCTCGTTATAGCGAACATATTTTGCCGGTCCCTTGGTCCTTTGTTATATATCGAGGTTCCACTGTAGCAATAAGGACTCTGGTGTTTCCCTCAAATCGCACTTTGGAGGCCTATGATTGAAGTACCGTAAACTGCCGCTATAAACTGCCCCACTTATTATTTCCCCCCCCCCTCCCACCCCTCCCACATTTATAGGCCAATATACCTGTAGAAAAAAAGACATTTGATCATAAGCTTCCCAGGGTATAAGTCCCCTCTAAATGTGTTGAAAAAAATTCGATTAAGTGTGAGTAGCAAAGGTTTTGAAGCTTCTAGTTGAAGATTACTGGAACTGTCAATAAATAGATAACATTTGATCTGCACTACTGTCAGTAGTTTTTTTCAAAGTTCTTTTTCTGTTCGGGCTATTTAGCCCCCTCCGATATAAGCCTCTCCGTTTACAAACCCTCCTACCCTCCCCCCCCCCCCCCCCCCCCCCCCCCCCCCCCCCTTTTTTCTCCCTCTTGTTTTGTGGTTTTTTTTAATTTTTTTTTGTTTTCGGGGCTTTTTCGCCCCCCCCTTTTGTCCCCCCTCCTTTCACCCCCCCCCCCCCCCCCCCCCCCCCCCCCCCCGCTTCCCCGACCATAGTCATTTACAATCAGTCTGTTTGACAATCCGGGACTTTGATTAAACACAGCCTAGAAGGCCACCTTACCTTGACTGAACACTGTGAAGAGAAGAAGACATAGAAGTGCAAAGGGATTCATTCCGCCTCTAAAGTACTTCCAGTACAAAGCAAATGAAATATTTCCTGTGGCTCTTTCTTCTTCGGCAATCTCCAAATTGTCACCAGCGACTATGTCCATGCCGTCTTTGTTATACAAAGGAGGTCTTTCCTTTTCCTCACTTTCGTCGGTACTCACCTCGTCTTCGCTGTCAGAGGTAATTGAACCAGCCCGAATGATATCTAGAATTCTTTCATCCGCTTGCAGTTCACGGTAGGTACCTTGGCCTACCAGACATCCCTTATGAAGAACAACAACTTGGTCGGCTGCTTTCAGACCATTCTCTGCGTACGTCACCAGTATTTTAATCTTGTCTCGTAAAAGCTTACAGATACACTGTTCTAATATGTGTTTTCCCACTTTAACATCCACTGCGCTTAAAGGATCATCCAGAAGATAAACATCTGCCTCTGCGTACACAGCTCGTGCCAGATTGACACGAGCAAGCTGGCCTCCACTCAGAACGACACCATGTTCTCCAACAAACGTAAGATCTCCACTTGGAAATCTGTTGATATCCTGAACCAGGGCACACGCATTCAAAACTTCGGCGTATTTTTTCTCCTCATACGGTTCACCAAATAGAACGTTTTCTCTAAGAGTCCCGGAAAAAACCCAAGCTGATTGAGGCATATAAGCTACAGATCCAGGACAGACTATATTACCACTTGTTTTAACCACCTCACCCGCGATGGCGGCCAGAAGCGTTGACTTTCCACCACCAACTGGACCCGTAATAACGGTGAGACTTTTCTCACGGACGAGGAAATTTATGTCTTGAAGAAGGAACGAATCTCCACCAGAACCATTCAGTTTGCACATGAGATTTGAGACAGAAAGGTTTACTGAATCTGTAACTTTGCCTACCATCTTTTCATGGTTTTTAACCATGCTTGTTTCAACAGTCTGATGATCTTTTTGTAAACTAACCTCCGCGGCTTGTTTTACATCAGGGCTTTCTTGACTGGAGGAGGTGTGATTGTCTTCGAGTGGCAATTTGTCAACAAAAAGGAAAGACTCTATTCTCTCAAGAGAGGCAAACACTTCAAATAACCATGGGGCAGAGACTCCTACTCTGGTAACTACAACCTGTGTAAGAACGTTTGATATGGCGAGAACCGTGAACGCTTTAAAAGTCGAAATGTAATGACCGGTTAAGACGAAAGAGACCATGGATAGGAACGTCGCAATGCTTGCTGACGTCTGTTCTCCACTCTGCACAAAAGACAACAGCGTACTCTTTTTTAGAATAACCCAAATCTCCGACCTGAAAAATAAACGAACATATATTTTGTTACATTTTACTTAATAAAAGCAATTTATGATATGTGTTCTTCAGGTGCTGAAAAAGAATGCTATCCACATGGAGGATATTTTGTTAGTTTAGCTACTATTTTTCAACAATTTTCAGTAACCATGTACTGAATACGTTGTGCTTGCTGCAGTGATAGATCAATGTATTTATATTCATTCAGTATATCAGAGAACAGATTCACTGTCCGTTTACTTCGCAGAAAATTAACTGTTTTCTTTGTCTTATCCAAACTGAAATCGAGCACGGTTTTGATAATATGTTTGCCTTATGAAGTACCTAAAAGCTCGATTTTTGAGGTCATTTTTGGAAGAACTTATTTAAATATGAGGAGAAAGAAGAAGATGAGGCGACAAGGGTTCTTGGCGAAACCGGAAAAAACGTTTTAGACCTTCAAATTAGAATGCAGCTACGATGGGAGTTGTTTCAAGTTAAAAGTTCTGCCCTGGCTTTCTCCTTAATTTCTCTGTTGACCTTATTAATACAGTAGCAAGAGAGAATGATATACGGCGTGGAACAGGGGATTCATTCGGCCGTTTGCTAAACAAATAGATTCTATGTTGCAATGCGTTTATTGGGTAATTGATCACTGGGGTGAAAGTGAAAATGCGGCAAGCCAAAAAGAGGGCAAACAAACCACTAGCCTGATTCTCAGACGTCCGAGGTCGTTCACAGCCCCTTCTCTTGTACGTCTCCCCTCGGAAAAGGTAAAGGAAGCGAAGGATTCGAGATCGACATCGGACGTCTGAGAATCAGGCCAACAAGCCCCAGGCAAGTGCCATTAGACTAAGTGCTCTTGCCACATTTTGACATCTGGGATCTATTATTGAATAGATGCGATGAATCTACTTTGTTTGACACAAGAAAAACTAAATATAATTACGACATATTTGCCTCGCAGAGTAGCGTTCGAACACTCCTTGGGCATTGTCTCATTGTCTCGTGCTAATATAAACCTCGGTGGGGAAGGCCTTTGGCCTTACTTTGCCAGGAATCGTTTCAAAATGTTAAATGAGACAATTGCACGAAGACGCTATCGTACTACTCACAACTACCAGAATGCTTCAATCTGTCGTTTTCCTATGAAAATTAGGGCTACTATTGTTACTTATTTAAAACCTCAATTATTTCAAAAGGAAAGGAGAAAAAACGAAATGAATTCTGTTAGTTGTACGAAAATGACGCAATTGTGAAAATGGCAATAAGTTATGAGCCACATAAGACGTCATATAAGGTAAGATAATCAGTGATCCACATAAAGCCTTGTGACGCCTCGTGTGTCATGTTATATGATATCTTCTGGATAAATTTAAAGGTCATCCTTTCATCTTAAACCAAGACCATTTGCAATGAACATGTACTCTAAATGACTATTTATCTAATAAACATTGTCCATATACGATGACTATTTTCGAATCTTCATAATACACGGTGCTTGCCCTCAGCCCCCCCCCCCCCCCCCCCCACATACTTTTTCAAACTACCATACGAACATATATTTCGCCCTCCACAAAAATTGATTTTATTTTTTATGAGGTAAACCCCACAGTAAAGAAAGGAGGGAGAGCCGCTATTTAAATGCACTATCTTTCTTTTAAAAAAAACAACTTTGTAAAAAAATATTTTTTTAAATAGTATTTTTATTAAAAAAATCTTGTCCTTTTAAGTTCATTTTTTTTCATTTTTTAAAAACCCCGGTGTGTCCCCCCCCCCCCCCCCCCCCCCCCCAAGTTATTGTTTACAAATTCACTCGGAAATATGTAGTCCTCTCTGAAAACAATTGTTTATTTAGATTTAGGGGCCAACCAGGGTATATGGGAATTCAAAAATAGAGAGGTGGCTCTCTCTCTCACCGTTTACCAGTCGTTTCGCTACAAAGTCGTGTTTATACAAGTTGTTTCGCTGTAAAGTCGTTTCGCTGCATCATGTCCGGATGGTACTGAAATTGACTTTTTGTATAAACCGGTTTAAAAGACACTTAACCTCAAACGGTTAATACTAACGAATTAATTACCATTTCACTGAGTTAATCAACGAAAATCAAGGTGGCTCGTACCGGTTTCCCTTTTTTTTCACAGTTTTTACTTTAAAAGGACAGAGCAAAAAAGCAATCCAAAGCCATGGCAGCGCTTCTGTAGAGTTGAATTATACAATGAATGCTTGACTTAAAACAACCATACATTTCGTCATTAGCAAGTACCATGGCAATGTATCTTAAGAATTATTTGGACCTACTTTTTGGTTGATAACTGATAACTGGTAACTAGAAAACTAAGCCGATGATCCCTAATTTTTTTGGACGACACCTTTGGACATTAGAAGCACGCTGGGAAAAAAAAAGCCTAAAAGTCGGCCACAAAATGTGTCCAAATATTGTTTAAAAATATGCTTGGAATGTTACAAATATCTCTTAAACTATAGAAGATATTAGGGCCATTTATACGAGGAAAAATAAGACGCGTCTTAAATAAGACGCAAACTTTCCGTATAAAAGGCACATTTCGTCTAAAATAAGACGCGGCTTAGCTAAGACGCGTCTTATTAGATAAGACATGCTCGTATAAATGGTACAGTTCGCTTCTTATTTAAGACGCGTCTTATGTAAGACGCGTCTTATTTTTTTCTCGTATAAATGGCCCTAATGAGTTGAGACTTTCACTTTGTATTTGTCTTAAGTTTTTCTTTCAAATTCTCCATTTTTGGGTTAGTACTGCGCATGACCAAAAAGCCCATTTTGTGACGTCATCAGTTGTGAGGTCACAAAAATGAAATTTGAGATTTCAAATCGGACAAGTTCTTCAATTTTATGTGCACTATATTTCTGCAAAGTATCACACTTTCAGGTTTCATTCTCTTGGAGGAGAAGTCTTTGGGAGTTTTGATTTTTTAATTGGCCACTAGAGGGTCAAGTGACTCTTGACGAACAAAAGGCCTATTCCAAAATTTTTCTGGAGTCAACTGTTGTTGCCCGGATTAATTTCAGTGTCATAGCTTTAAAGGAAAGGAAGTTATAACCCCAAGAACTCCAAAAATCTTTGTGCCTATCACGCCCCCACCCAATCTTTTGGCCGATTTTTACCACCTTTTTTCCCGGCGTGAAAAGGAAAATACACAGTGATTTTAAAAAAATTCTATGGAGCGGATTTTTTGCGAAAGTTGAAAATAGGACATTTTTATTCAGCACAAATGTCCTTCCGAGAATTTTTTCATTTTTTCCCTGGCGTTTCCTATCAACTCTGACAAAATACTAAAGGAATGAAAATAGGCGGTCACCAGACTAGTTTTCATGTGAAATACTTCGAGATTTCACAAATTCCCTCCCGTGTTTTCGTGCTTGTAAAATCTGAATCCTATAAGAACATGGGTTACTCATGCGCTGTGTTGACTACCGCTGGCTGTTGCGTGTACACTCGCAGGCATCCATTGAGTTTGTTTACAGTCATTGCAGAGAAGATAAGAATTACATGCGTCCAATTTACGCATTGTTATTAGGTTTTCCCGTTCAGTGTAAAGTTTAGTAACTTAAAACATCGCCTTCTGGACGCTCTTTTCAAGATCAAGCGACAAAACGAAGTGGCAAAGAAAAAGTTAAAGTTTTCAATTTGCTTCGTCGTTCTTGTGAGGACGTTACGCGTTACATGATCCAAACGACGAAATTGTAGCCAGGAAGATAAAGTGTGGTTAATTGTGGTAGTATTCTAGTTTATTATTTTTTAGTTTTGCTAGTACTTAGAGTGTTATTGGTCTTCTAATCACTTTCACGAATCGATGGCAGTGCACATCGCATGCAAGTATTCCTTTTGAAACTTACGCATTGAGCGGAGAAATAATTGTCTTCTTGAAAATATATAGTTAAAACAGGATTTTACAGTGTAAATAGAATTAGATAAACACGAATTTTATTTAAACAAGCCAAAAGTAACCTCACACGAAAGTATTAAAACTTGCATAAAGAAAGCAGGGCGTCGCCATTTTTGTTTTTCTTTATCTCGCGCGTACAAAGTGGAGTGTGATGCGCGCGCGATGGACTCCCCAAGCGAGAAAACTAGTACGAGCCACCTTAAATGGAGACCAGCAAACTTTGAAGTAGTTTTCAACTTCTTGATGCAGTGAAACGACTTTACAACTTCGCCGCGAATCGACTTCATTATGCAGCGAAACGACTGTACTCTGTAGCGAGACGACCGGACACCCTCTCACCTCCTAACTTCCTTCACTTTTTCTTCATAGTATTCCTCCCACGTATGTGTCTTCAGGGCACGGATACCAGTCACAAGTTCGCTCATTAGTGAAATACGCTTTTCTGACACTTCAGCGGTTTCCCGACGTAGTTTAGCACATGCAGCTGAGATAATCAAGACACAAGGAAGTAATGCTGTCAGGAAAACAACTCCAATTATTCCTTGCCAACCCATGAGAAAAACTACTATCAAAAATGTAACGAAGATATCGAAAACAAAGAAGAAGGAGATACACGTCATTCTAGGAGCATATTCTATTCTCTGACAATCATTTGATAGCAAGTCCATGATATTGCCCGCTGTTGTTTTCATTCTGCTTTGTTGAGTGAGCGAAAGAATCTGCAAATTAAAATGAATTTATTATCATATTATTAAGTTCATATGCCGCAATCAGTAAATCTTACGTCACTTTCATATGGTGGAAATCTGTACCCGGTAGAAAGATTACCCTACCTGCAGGGTTAGCCTGTGTAAAGACCCCCCCTCCCCTCAGGAAAAACCGGAAATGGGGTATTAGTGACGGTGAATCACAGACGCTCCTTCTCCGATTTTTCCTGAGCGTGGGTCGGGGGGGGGAGGGGGGAGTTTCTACATAGGTTATGCTGGGTCAACTTTAACGAGCGTTTATAAGTTGAAAGATGTAGTTTTTGCAATTTTCAGTCTTTTGCAATCAATAAGAGATAGCTGAAATTGGTATGCTCTTTCAATATTCACAGATTTCATTTTATTCGCTTCATAATAAGGATTCTCCTAGTCATGGTTGGGGTGTTCGTTTCAGATAAGTACTCTTTTCTCTATCTATCTTTCGAACCGGGAGGGGGAAATTCTTTATAATGGCCTTAACGTGGAGGCTCCGCCCGAAATGGTAACCCTTTGAGGTTGAAGGTATTTTTTAGGCATTTATGCGTGAACTATGATGATTATTATGTTTAACAATTTTGATATTGTAATGAAAGAACAACAAAAACAATCTCTGAGTGACATCTTACTTCACCTTTTTATAAATAATTCCTCTGATGGCAGCGGCAAAGCGCATACCCACAACATCGCTTTTAAAAGCAGAGTAATGTGTGGTGGCGGAAAACACGCCTGCCATTCCAATGAATAAGCAGCAGCCGTATATTAGAGGTCGATTCGGTTCTGTCGCCGTTAACAACGCAAGAAGCAGCCCGAGCCCCAGTGGAACTAACAATAGGAATATGCTCTCCAGGAACCAAAAACTCAAAAGGAAGATCATTTCTCGATAGGACAGCATTCTTAAAAGGCATTTCCATAGCTTTGGTTGTTCACCAGGAGTCGTACTGCACTGATGTACTTCATAATTCCACAGATCTTTGAGACGTTCGGTTAGGGCACGTGTTCTGTCTTCCTCGTCCAGCGGAAAGAAATCTGATTGGTTTAATGGCCGCTTGTTTCCTGTTCTGAATGTGCTGTTCATCCACCAAAAGGTGAAAAGTGAAAGATAGTTGGCAGATTTCGCAGGATGAGTGGAATGGTCATCATCATCTTCGTCTTTTTTTATTGCTCCGTAACCTTTCTTGGGCATTTTTCTGTTAAAAATATGCGAGAAATTATGTTAATTGAATGACAAAACTATTAAACGCCAGAGCCTGGTGCCTGAAAGGCCGAGTAGTAGAGTAGTATTCAGGATTAAAATTCTGTTCCATTTTTGTATTTTACTTTCCTATGTATTGCTTAGAGTAACATATTTTGTGTTATCACAGGGGCGGATCCACGATTTTTTTAGGAGGGGGTGCACTCGTCTCTTGCTCTACTTCAACACCAATAAACCACATAGTTTTTTTTTTTTTTTCAGAATACCAGTTGTATTAGAAAACCGCAGGTCATCTCGCGGGGGGGGGGAGGTGTACACCCCCTGCACCCTCCCCCAAGATCCGCCCCTGGTTATCACTACTGTATCTCGGAGTAACGGCGCAACAGTATTTTGTAACCTCGAGTTGCATGTTCTTAGGGAAGAAAACCTTATTTACTTAAAATTTGGCTTAATCCTGGGGTGAGATTAACCGTCTTTCGAAGAACCTGAGCCAGGCTTTACCAACGATTGCTTTTTACCTTTGCTATCTACCTTTAGCATACGTTTCTTTAAAATATTACGCTCTTAAGCTCAGAAATACCGACTATCCAAACACTTCTGATGACTTATTGCTCAATCATTCAACCATATTTACCCAACGTGATATGTGTATGAGGTTATGAAGCTAAATAGTACAAACTTCTTATCCTTTACTTATGCTCATGCCATTCCTTTTTTTCATGAAAGCAAAGATTTTACTCCGGGGGGGGGGGGTGTGGGGGGGTGGGGTACTCAACAAATTTTTATACGGGAAGGCTCCGCTCCCCTAAATCCATTTTTAAGCGAAAAATTGGATCAACTTTTAGGTTTCCGGGAAACTGCCCACCTACCCCTCCCCTAAGCCATCATTTTGCCCTGAGCGAGAGGTAAGTGTTAATGTTAGCTTAGGGGAGGGGTAGGTGGGCAGTTTCCCAGAAACCTAAATTGACCCGCAAAATTCGCGGATTTCAATTCGATACTCTAGCTATTGGATTGAAGTCGACACTTTAGTTCAAAACCTTAAAGCTAAAACCCGGCAAACTCTTCAATGTTTCCGGCAACCGTTCGAACATTATTTTGAGCCCTATTAATCTTCTTATAAGACATCAATTGAATTCTAAAAACAATGGTCATTGAAGCCTATACTTAGCTACCGTCTAACTCCGTCTGTTGCTACCGATCGCAAGGAGTAAAATGGATTGAAAAAGTTAGGCCAACCGATTCAGAGTTTTAATGCGCCTAGCCTACAAACTGAATTACCCAAAAAATTATTAGTAGTACTCCCTGATGAAATTTCGGTTATATATCTTCTTCATAACTCTACAGGGGCATTTTTTGCGTAGATAAAGCTCCAAGAAATGACGTCAGTCCGGAATTGACCTAAAATCCTCATGACACTAAGCCCGTTTAAGAGGGTGCTAATGGGGTACCCAGTTCTCAGTCAGCTACTAATTTTTCGGCCAAATATCAGTTAACTACTATTTTTTTTGGCCAATTCTCAGTAAACTACTAAGTTTGGTTTGCTATTAATTTTCACTTCCTACAGCGAATATTATTTCGTCATAAACCGAATTTTCTTTACTTCAGCAAGTCAATCACTTTCTGGGGAAGGCCCTACTAAAATCAAGGTTTAAACTTCTATATGAATTGACATAAACTCCGCCACTAGTACCATTTATTAGTAACTCATAAATATAGAAATTAAAAGAACATAATTATCTTACCGAAGTAGTAAAAATGGGTAAGCGATAGCTATTAAGACTCCTATTAACCGATTTTTGCTGTAATTTCAAATTGGATTAAGTCGTATAACCATCCACGTACATCCAGACGCACTAGTCATGCTCTCGTACTGATCTTTCCGACCTGGTCATGCATGTCCTGCTACAAACTTCTTCAAAATCAAGTCACCTTATTCGTCACTTTCATTATCTGAATCAGTTTCGTACTTAACTGGTTGCTGTATGTCCTGTATCTTCTTGTTTACCTAAGTTTCAATCCATTTTCAATCCTTGCAATCCATTGCAACAGACAAACGACGGAAAATACCAAAATATCGTCTTAAATAACAAAACTGAACCAATATTTTTGGAATTTAATTGATGCGCAAAAAAAGTTTAGCTTTTTAAAAAGATAGCAAATAGCATGACATAGTCCCGTGACGCTGGTGGTAAAGATCTCGCTTTATCTTCAGTTTATTTGCTTCTTATACTTCGTCGTCAAACAGGTCAAAAGTTCTCTATCCACTGCCTCATCTTCGTTTCTCACTGTTTGCACCGATGGGAAAGACATAGTTGAGACTGCTGAGAAAGGCGTGAAAGTGTTTGACAAGGGGCAATTCGACGTTTTATGAGCGTAGCGAATTTCGATTTTTTTCTAGTTCCTTTAAGCAATTCTTTCACTGTGGTTCCAAAGTCTAGGGCGTAGTTCAAAGCACTAAATGTTTTCTGATGAAGTCAGTGAGAAATCGCGTGTAGGTTTTCTACCTGCG